GCGCCGGGGAAGGCTTTCTGATTACTCATCGGCTTGGCCACATCGTGGGGTCTATGTGTCTCGAATAAAGTTGAAATTGCTTCATGATCGATACGCGTGCCGACTTGGTCTTGGTACAACGTGTTCGTTAATTAAACCTGTATGTATACCTTCTATGTACAATGTATTCTATGCACTCGCATAGTGTAGAAACTTTATTTCGAGAGCGAGATTTGTCTTCCTCGTGATAATATTTTTAATAAATGTATTTTTATATCTCATGCGAGATAAATTCGATTGTATCGTTAATGAAGTTGAGATAAAAGTGGTGTGGTAGGTTTCGTTATCATGCATATCTTGGGAACTGCATGCGAAACTGGTGCTCCTCCTTCGTCAAGGGAGTGGCTCAATTTCCTGTCGTATCTCATTGACGTGTACTCTCAGGTTTAACGAATAAACATGCCAAAACTGAAATCTTACTCATCCGCTGAGCAATCGTTTTTATTCGAACACATGCCCATAAATGGAATTAGCCATTTTTAACTTTATCTCACAGTAACCTCCCTCCTGTAAAAAACATGATTAAATTATGAATGCAATCCACTATTATTGACGTTTATGTTAAAGCATCAAGAGAGTAAGTTAAAATTACCGAATATATATTCTGTGTACAAGATTATACAGGAATTATTCTTGATGCACAATTTTTTGGGACGCGTTATATTACAGACTGTCGAAGAGAAATTGGCTGTGTACCCAAAGTCAATGACTTCGTGGCTTGGTTTAATTGACCTGACGACGGGATCTTTTCACGGCTTTAGGAATCAAGGCCATCGCATATACGTATTTAATGTAGTTCAATGTATGTGTCTTATAGGTGTTGGGTGTCTTTTTACAGACGCATCAGATGTACACGTTAGTAGAAAGATACGAGGATACATTGAATGTCTTAACATACATAAGTATATACCTAACTCGATACCACCAACACGACTACGAAATAGAAATTATCATTACAACTACGAAGGTTAAAATAGATTAACGGTTTACCTAAATCCACACACAGTGTACGATTAATCACAAAAATATCGATACAGAGTATTGGCCAAGCGTTCTCTTTTAGAAAGTATATTCAGACCCACTATCGGCCAACGAATCTTCCAAGTCATTTGTGTACAAAATTTTAAGGTTAAAATTCTTAAAATCTATGAAAATCATCGTCTCTTTATTTGGAATTACTTTACGATAATTTAGATTTTCCAAATTACACTCCTTACATTACATTCATTTGGAATTATTATCTTTTCATTTGAACAATTTTCATGTAGTAATTCATCATCCAGTAGAAAGACAATAAATTATCATTAACCTTAAACAAAAAAAAATAATAAAAAATTAGTTTCTTCGGAATAAAAGTAAAATTTTACCATTTAATAGATAAGAAAAATTTTCAGAATTTGAAGATAAAGAACAGAATATTCTAAAAGTTTCCAGACGTTTCCTTTTTCTGTGGTAAAATTCTCGTTATCCTACGGATGCCAGTATCTTATGAGATAAACGTTTCCCAGACGACAAATGTGTTTCCGACTTCCTAATAGTAACGGCGCGTTTTCCGTAACTCTCTTTCTCGGGAAATCATCTGAAATTAATTGAGCTCATCAACATGCGTATCACGGTGCAATTGGAGCGACTCGTTCGTAGTAACAACTAACGAGGGTGCGTTCACACCCACGTTCCACAGGCGAAGCATGTGTAGAAGCGCCAAATATGGATGGTTCATATGAAGCTTTAAATCTTTTACTATAAACGGCCTCGATATGTTAATGGAAATCGATATAACTGAAAGTGCATGTACTCAACTCCCTTTGATGTTTTATGAAGGTTCTTTTGTGAAAGTATTTTTTACAATACGATTTTTTTGCCTTTAAGTATATTAACACTAGAACTACCGACCTGTAATGCGTACTTAAATATAACACACACAGATAAATTATCTGAAATAATAATAATAATAATTATAAATCATTTTAATTAAATAATAATTAAAATGACATCGAAAATATAAGAAGTATACATGATTACGTTTCTGGTTGAATAAAAATCGACATTAACTTTATTAAAAATTTTGTTACGAATTTTTAGTAATTGCAGAAACAAAAAGTCTGAAACAAATTATTTTTACTTCTCTGGTAACTCTAGTGTTATATAGTTTATGATCGAGATGTACAATAAGATTTATTCGATAGGTGTGGAATAAATTATTTTAATATTTTTGATCCTGGTAAACAAAATCGTGTTAAGTTGGATATAAATAATATTATAATAAAAGTAGTAAGTAAAACTAGTCAGAATTTTATTTTATCAAGTACAGTTCGTCATGATGTTGTGAAATACAGTAAGCGCTTTAATATTTTTTTATATATGGTTACACGTCAGGGTTTCGGAATAAATGTACTTCGTTAATATCTGAATTATCAAAGAAAAATATTTAAAAAATTCAATATTAGATAAAGAAAATATCTTGAAGTATTTTGAAGTATCTATGCGAAATCATCATTGATAAGTTAGTTAACGGTCATGTGACTAGCATACACAAAATGCGACTATGTGTTTAAGATACTACAGTTTCTTATGTAAACCAGTTATCCGAATTTTCTTATCTGTTCTGTAAAAGATATTTCTCGGTATTTAAATAAATGTAATGTATTAATAAAATTACCATAAAAAACAGAAGAAGTAGTATTTATTGTTAAATACCATTTGATCATTTGCCATATAAAAATATTAAAAGTTTAATAGGTTAAAGTGCAAAAAAGTACAAGTAGTATATGTATGTATACATCTACCGACAGATCTTAAAATTAGCTGTGTCGTGAAGAAAGATAATTTAGTTCCGGAATTTAATTCCTATCTTGAAAATTATATTTCCTTGGAAAAGATATCTAATTGAGGACAATATGTACCTTAAAATATGCATAAAGATATGTAAAGTAATCAACGTATTTATATTTTGGAAACGTGGCACTCGTTTTTCAAATGTTTGGAAATAACTACATCAATAAAAATTTTGATAATTCATAATATTCTTTAATAAATGATATATTAATACTATGCAGTTATTTTTAATAAAGATACCTTATAATGTTTTCCTATGTGCACTTCATATACGTATGTACTGCTTCCGGTCGGTAACTGAATGATCGATGGTTATATCGTGAGTCACAAAATACTAGTAATGGCAATTAGAAATTGTAGGTAACAAGCGTAAGGTACCAGGAAATTAATAGATATACTGTATGCAAAAGATGAATCAGAACTATGTATATTTTGAATATGAAAATTTCTAATTCATCATAATAATAAAAGATGTTCTATTTGCTATATGTTTCTCCTCCTCGGTTTTCATGTTTTCTTCCTTATCACGCAATTCACAATTTTTTACGATTGGTATATTTCAAATAAAATAATAACGATATTGAAACTATGTTTCACTAAATGTTTTATGTATAAATTAAAATGATTTTTTTTTGTTAACAATTAATTAATTGAACTATTAATTTATATGATATCTTCGATTGACATTTATTGTGAATTATATTAAAGATTTTACTATCTGAACAAAACTTATAATTATTTTAGAATATAACGTACTTTCTCAGTTAATACCTAACTTTTACATTTTTTTAAAATTATTGTTATTTAAAAGTTAAAGCATTGAGTTAAAAACATGTCACTTACGCACTCTATCAACTGAAGATGGAACTATAGTCAGGCAAGAATATTGGAGTATATTGTCGATTTGTGTAATCAAGCTTTGTTTTCTTGACAAACGTATATGACGTGCATGAATTTGAAGAACATACGACACTAATTATTTTAGTAAAAAAAGTTATAATTATCATAATATGCAGTGGTTAAGAATATATTTGTATTAAAATTTTGTTACTAAAAGTGTATATTAACTCAAGAATGACTCGGACTAACAGGTTAGTTTTTGTTGATGATGTGTGTAATGACACAACTCTTTTAAGTAACATATATAATTCATTGGATTTCATTCCACTAATTTACTTTTGTTCATGATATTTAGAAAAAGAGGGCGTGATGCAGAAGAAGAATCTAGTGAATTTATGCCATTAAGTAAAAGAATTAATAACCTTCACATTAATGGTTTATCAGGCATGCATGAAAATATAACTGAAAATATGGATACAGATTGCTGTAGCAGAAGCTTTATGCCATCACCAAATTATTCAGAACTTTCTCAAGGGTCACCGCTGTATGACGGATGTAGTTCTAGTCAAAGTAGTTACATAGCGGAATATAAACCTGATCTGGATGCTGTTGAAAATCCATTTTATTATGAAAGTAATAAGTTATTATTCTCTTTATATGTGGAACGTATTCAGAGAACGTCCGATTCATTTTGATACCCTGCTTTTCAAATTATAATTCCTAATCATTAAGCATTTTTTGCATATCATTATTTTCATTCTTCCTCAGTATATGTTTATTAATGAAATTATACAAAATCTTAAAAAGTTCAATTTTCAGAAAAATTTTAATAACGATTTATTATTTATATATTACTAAATGTTGATTCAATGTAATGCAATTGTGTATGTAAAAAAGAAAGTAAATATTTAAAATTTTTAGTAAAATGACAGCTTAGATAGAAAGACATAGAATTAAAATTTGTGTAATTACGATTAATGAATTTATAATTTGAATGATTATTGATAATTTATATTTCATTATTGTTATAGCATACTATACTAATTACTACATTAAATTGATGTTTCTACATAAATAATGTGTCGTTGATCAATTATATTTTTATTGTAAAAGTTTATTAGATTGCAAAGTATTTTGAGACTGTGAAAGTATGAAGTAACATATTTATAATAAAAATGTTGTAAAAGAAAGAAAATATTAAGGTTCTTTAATTTGTTTTTATTATCCCTATATCATATTACAAATATGTATTTTATTTGCAATAAAGGTTTAAGGTATTAGAAAGGCTAATTTTATATTAAATCATTCATATAACGCGCGCAATAACATGAAAATATGGCGGCCATCGAAGTATCGAAATATCGATTCTCGACCTAACCTCACTTCAGTCTCCGCTAGGTGCGCACGGAGTTAGTGTCGCTTTGTAGTGGTAGAGGAAACGAAGTAACTGAGAGTAAGACAGAGCGACGGACAGGTGTTTTTTGCGTTGTTATACATTTTTTTCGAAAGTTCGCGACTCTTGTAAAACTGTTAAGATTATTATAATACCTGTAAATAGAACGGTACCATAAGAGTTGACTGTTTAATCGACAAGCGCGCACGCGCCGCTTTCCCCTCGCTCTCACAATATACTCCGCGCGTAACCGCCGCCATAGTTGATATTTCTCCGATAGAATATTAATAGCAGCGTAAGTTTTCGCGGTTAAACGTATTTTTATTTACTAACTGGAAAACAAGAATGCGTTCGACGAGGGCGGTGAGACGAGGTCATTCAAGATAAAGCTGGGATCCGTAGGAAGAAGGAGGGTGTCTACTTTCACAGCTCGTGGTTTTCAGGAGAGTGGCCTGGCATTGCGGCGCTTCGAGTTAACGTGTGGCCACCGTCGGGTGGCTATGTACCGTTAGCTCGAATTCATTCCCCGTTGGCCGGCCCAAGACCCACGCTTACCTACCGACCGGGGCCATACTCGATCGAACTCGACTGTCGTAAACCCGGAAATGAGTGCGCGTCGCGGCTTGCCGTTACCGCAGGAAGACTGCCAGTAGTGCGCGAATTTATCACGAGTCACGACTCGTCGATCATCAAAGACACGTTCATTTGGACATGCGTCTCGTATGACGTGTGCACCGTAAGCAGTAGCCGTGGCTAACTAGAGAGCCGTGGCACGGCGAACGTATACGTAGAAATGAGAAAGTTGCTGCCGCCGCGGTGAAGATTGAGAACGACGCAGGCGAGCCAGCCAGGCGGACGGTCTCTGTACTACGCGAAGCTTCCGACGCAGCGACAGTAGTAGCAGTACGCCGAAAGGAGTGCACAAGGGAGCCACAGCTGCTCGTGGGTAAGTAGGACACGCATTTCCTCGTGGATGATTGTCTTGTACGCAAGGAACTCGCGTGCACCTATACGTTCGTACGTAAACTAGAGCGAGTTGAAGGAGTCCGCGGACGATGCCGCCCCACGAATCTTTACGCGCTTTACTCCTAATGCGAAACGTGCACGAGAAACCGCGAAACGGTGGCCACAGAGCACCCACCCCAAGACACTAAAATCGTCGCGGGGCCCTCGTCGTGGCTCACGGCTTGGCTCGAGCTGGCTTTGGTGGGGTGGTTGGAGGTGCGGACAGTGGTTGAGAGGCTGGTGGGGTTGGAAATTGCGTGGTGGTGGGTGCCCACCGAGGTCTCGGAGGCCCCTCCGTGGCATCTCGCTGCCTCTAACCCGTCGAGGTGGGGGTGTAAACAACAGCCCTGCCTGTGCCTCTGTTGGCTCTACTCTGTCCTCCGTTTCGCCTCTGCCCTGCTCTCGCCTCTGCCAACTCGCCCGATCTTTTTCCTACTTCCTCTCCACGTAACGTCTCCCGATGCGCGATCGAAAGAGCACCGAAGGGAGGGAGAGACGCAGGGCAAAAGGGAGAGAGGGAATAACCATCGAGAGAACAAAGCATCGGCTTCACGGACCTGTGCTATTTTCTCGCGTCACCGTGTACTCAATTCCATCATGGCCGATGTATCACCGAATGTGCTGACGTGGTAACCTTGTCCACCCGTTTACTTAACTGCCGTCCGTACACGCTCGGCTTCAATGTTTACACAATCGTAATATTGCTTTACCTTTACCTGTTCATCATCTGATAGTCGCCCTCATGATACCATTTACAGTAGCTTCGTATTTCAGTTATACCCTATCTTATTACGCTTCCAAGAAACGAGTTTTTTTTATCCTGGGCGCGTGTAAAAAGCATATCTGATTGCACAATGCCCCAGAGCTATTCCGTTCTACGAACGCTGCCCCCAATATCATGCGAGACACTAGAATTCCTCTAGAAACCGCGAATGCTCAGACATGCTCTCTTCGATGCGTGTACGTGAGAGAGATAGTTGTATAGTGTGAGAGAGATATGTTGAACCTTAAGAGAATCGGCGCCATTACGACATGCGCGTCTTGCAAAAGCGTCCAACAACGGTACGTCGGCGAGGCTGACCGGTCAGTCGCACACGCCATTCCGCGAAAGTCGAAAAACGCATCCGCAGTGCGTTCGTTTATGCGTGTTCACGTTACGGTAGTTTTTTTTTTTTTTTTTTTTTATTAAGCCGTGCAACCACCCGCAACGACTTGCTGGCACGGAATAATCGTCCATTCGACACGGCACCCTCCTCGGTACGTCGAAAGGAGGAGAGGTGCACGGGTAACCTAACCTCTTCTCTTTCTCTCTCTCCCTCACCCGTTTTCTACTCCTTCCCTACCCACGGGTGGATCAAGGGCGAGAGTCATCGGTGTGTCCCACTTCGTCTGCCGCGATGTCTGCTTCGTATGTTCTCTCCCGATATTTCGCGTTCCCCTCCCCGGGGAGTTCCCGGTATGTCGAGGATCGTCTCCCTTCTTTCTTGACATACCCCTACCCTTTCGAGCTTGCGGCACACGCTTACGCACCTACACAGCGATCTACCGTTCCTTCCCGTCCTATTCTCGCGATATTCCGAGTGTTGGTGCGAGGAAGAGAGTGAGTCTCGGGCTCTATTTCGCGGTGGGTTCCCGTTTTCCCACCTATGGGTTCCCCCCTACCCTTGTCGAGAGCTCCTACCCCCTACCCCCGTTGGCACCATCATGGTGGAGTGGGGTGCAATCCTGGGCCACTTCGACGACTATCCTCCCTGCTCCCGGATCCCTTTGAGGTGGGGGAGGGGGTGAAGTGGGGGATCTCTCACCCCACCCCCACATACCAACACATGGTCAAGAGGTCTGAAGTTAAGACTTCGACAGTAGAGGTGGCGGGACACTCGACGTTTAACTTCACCACTTTCACGAATAAATGCTTTGGGTGCTGTTATCAAATGCACCGTTCCAAACATGAGAAGGGCAAGAGTGGTGGGGTGAGAGCCCAGTTCAATTGCTAACCACTGTATCTTTAGATCAAATAGATGGCTATTCACTTGTCTCATGCATGCCGTTCAACTCAACCTTGATCTTGACGTATTTATTATGGTATACATATACCATCGCGGGTAGCAGACAAATAGAGAAACACACATTATGCGGGGGATCTTCTCGTTGATAGCCGTTAAACTGTAGAAACTCATATAGTACGAAACTTTTTAACAGCAGTCGTGTACAAGTTCTCCAACCACCTGTAGCTAATACTGAGTACAGGAAACGAACATAGAAAATGGAATACAATAAATCGAATGTTATCGGCATTTAGTAATGGATAAAAATAAATGACAGAAAAAAGAAAGAAAGAAATATTTCTAGATATGATATATGCGATACATGAAGTATAATGTTCAGATCAATTAGTTTTTATGCATGATTATTGACTTGCAATTTGTTTCTCGTATTTAGCAACATGATCATGTACAAACATGATGTATTTACTTTACTTCGGACATATCTGATGACGAAACATTAAGGGATTAGAGAGTATCTGTGAATTCTATGAAACAGTTTGAAATATCGAAGGTTGATGCATTTCGACAGCAATATTCATGCGTCAAAGTGAGTGTAGTTGTGTAATATGATATGTAAATACGTATCTGTTATCAAGTGTTTGATACTCTATTTGTTTCTTGCGTAACACTTATAAATATGTTTCATTTAAAGAAAATACAATTTAAAAAAGATGTATATATATTTTCAGCTTTATAAGATGTTGACTGCTTTATAGCAATTTAATATGATTTTATGTGTGCCTGTCGAATTTGGTAATTAATTTAGTAAATAGATAATCCAAAATTCAACTTTTAATTTTCAATTATTATTTACGTTCTCGTTTATTTGTTCAACGTGAACATTTACATTGCTGAAAAATATTGTATTTCGTTTAAACGTTTCTTGTTAAACAATATTAATATTAACAATTCATTAATTTCATGGCTATTTGATCATATCAAAGCTAACTGTATTTTGTTTGAATTTCAGATTTAATTATAGTGGAAGATGAATTTCACGCCTTTTCCCGGCTTTACAACAGGCTCGCTACCGACGGGCACGGTTCATCAGTTTGCAACCGCTAAATTTACCCAAAACCTACCCACTGGTGGTCAGGTCGTTGGCGTTTTATCCGGTGGCGAAGGTGGAGTTCATTATCTGAGGCCGGTCGATCCGAACGGGTTCGCAGTGGCTCAAGGTGGTAATAATCAACAGCAGCAAATTATTACGCTGCCAATCACTGTACCTGGAAAAGATGGCACGCAACAGCAGCAAACCGTCCAAATCCAGGTGGTCAATCCCAGTGTATCGCAAAGTGGAAATAGCGGTGATCAACCCAAGTATCATTTGGCCCCAATCTCTTTGGGACAGTTTCCTCAGGGTGCAGCAACAGTTCTTACCGTTGCGTATAGTCAACAAGGCGCAGATGGAGTACAGATTCAAGTGCAACCACAAAACACCGTGGCTACGACGCAAACGTAAGAATCGTCGTTTATTTAGAATGTTCTTAATATATTACGGCGTAATTTGCAACATAATATGATATTTTGTATTTTAATTAACGATTACACATATAGAGTATATATAGAAATATATATATTTTAGATCCGATCAAACGACTCAGAGTACGTCCACGGCAGTTACCACCACATCCCAACAAACTATTCAACAAACAGTGCAACTACCAGGAGCACCTGAAGGATTAACCGTCGTCGCACAGATTCCACAAGACTTGATTTTGCGCGAAGGTATGGAAGAATCGAAAGAAGATGTAAAGGAAGGAACAACTCCAGTCGCTCTCATTAAGAGGGGTAGCATTAAAAATCAAGGGAATCAAAGTGGAGAAGAATATATTACATCTATGCCCGCAAGCTGGCAAAGTCTCGCAACTCCAGGATCAACTGTTGCTGATTATCTTTCTAGATTACCCGCTAGTACCTTGCCCCTTAGTTTACAGCATTTCTTAAAATTTTCTGCAGAAACAATAAAGAGAGAAGCTACTATTGAGTCGAGTCCTTTAGGGACTGATGGTTTAGATGCATCTGGAAGCACTGCATCTGGTGAACAAGCTGTGCAGATTACCGTAGCAAGCGGGGAAACCGCTATCATTCCTGATGTTGTTGAAGAACAGGAACCCGGTACAAAACCTAAGAGAAAAAAGAAGTACAAGAAAAAACCTCCAAAACCAAAAAAACCGAAGCCAGGTCAAGTGAGCATAGTTACTGCTCTCGATGGTACGACGCTATTTTGTTGTCCTCAATGTAACATGGCTTATCCTGAGAAAGAACTTTTGGAACAACATCTTATTGGACATAAAATAGAAAGAAGGTTTATTTGTGACATTTGTGGTGCAGGTTTGAAACGTAAAGAACATTTAGAACGGCATAAATTGGGTCACAATCCAGATAGACCTTTTATTTGTTCAGTTTGCATGAAAGGTTTTAAACGAAAAGAGCACTTAAATCTTCATTTTGTTATACATTCTGGACAGAAAACTGAGGTTTGTACCGAATGCGGTAAAGCATTTTATCGCAAAGATCACTTGAGGAAACATGCTAGGTCTCATTTGGCAAAACGTATCAAAGAAGATCCTTCGAATATTGCCGATACTTCCCAAAATTCGCAACAACCAACAGATCAGCAACAGCAACAGGCGGAACAATTGCAGCAACAAGCAGACCAATTACAGCAACAATCATCAGTGTCTGAATTACAACAGATTCAAATACAAGTAGGCCAAGGATCTCAGGCACAGATTCACCAGATAGCCGTTAGTGAACAGTCCACGGTTGTTCTTCCAACTGCTGCAGAAACTGGTGCAATGGCTATGCTTCATCATCAACAACAACAGCAGCAACAACAGCAGCAGCAGCAACAGCAGCAGCAGCAGCAGCAACAACAACAACAACAACAACAACAACAACAGCAGCAGCAGCAGCAACAGCAGCAGCAGCAGCAGCAGCAGCATTAGCAGCAGCATACCGCCCCGAATCAACCTGGGCGGTTCTTCCGATTTAATCATCAGCAAGCTAGAGGTCGTGCAAGGCAAGGTGTTCTTGCCGATTGAATTCTATAATCTCATAGTCAAATTGGTATCGTGTAAAAAAAATTCGTTGATGGTGGTTATCGTTGCCTAGTAGTGGTGTTGCAAAATTGAGACTTTTTCTGTATCTTCAAATAAAGATACTTTTACTGACGAGCCGTCGCATTTCAAAGTTTGTACACCATCAGCTTCTTAAGGAAGTCGTAGGCCAGATTAATGTATGGTTATAATTATTCTGCAAAACGCACTGAGCTGACTGACGAACGAAGTTCGTACATACGAAGTTTCATTTTTGCGTACACGTTATAGCGTACGTGTAAAAAACAAGAAAAAGATAAAAAACGAGTTTCCCTACTCGTTGAATTCAAAATGTTTTTGTCGCTAATCCAGTTCCATGACGCAAGTTAGAATTAAATAAAGAAGTTTATATATACATATATATATATAAATATAAAAATATATTTTTGAAAGCGCGAACTGGATTCGTCACACAGAAGGCAATCGAGTTTTCGGCTAAAGTTAATCTTTTCTTTTTTTTTTCTTTTTTTTTTATAATAAATATAAGGAGAAAAAATACGTAATGCGAAAAGAAACGAAATAATACATAAAGCAAGGCTGTAAATACAACCAATTTACCGTGCACAAGAAGCGAAAAAAGTGTCGTGCAAATATAAAGTGAGTCCGTTTATTTATTCCACTTGTTCTCTACGTGATCAAGACCTGCAGGAAGAGTGTATCGTAAAAACCATGAATAACAACTAATATTTTAAAGAGAACGCTGCGTTTTGCTAAATAAATGTAAAATTTTACATTTGTATCTACACATTGGGTAGTTGACGTTTACTTTTGTGAAGAGGGATATGTATTTTCGGCTTTATTAATATAAATCAATCTAAACAAGTAAATTTATTATTACAAAAGTTTAAAAATAACTAATTGGATATACGTACATCATTATTTCATATAGTATTCGTTTATTACATCACGAAGGTTACATCACAAAGGTTATCACGAAATACGACTGGCTATTAAGTCTATATAAATATTTAAATTTGAAGAGAAGCATTTCTACAACCACTAATATTTCTAGAAATTCTAATAAGTTAGTGTAACTTATTTTGTATAGTATTTAATTTGTTTTACTTACTAAACTGATAATTTTTACGAGGAGACATCGCAGTTCTCTTCTTTGTGTTGGTCGTATTTGAAATGACTTTTTCGTATTATATTAAAATGCACGACAGAAGTACAGCAAACAGTTGTTGGAAATAAACCATCTGATTTATTAATCAATCATGGTACACTCAAAATTATTTGAGAAAAAGATGTATGTATACAAAAAAAATACTTTTTATTGTAAGTATCATTATCAAAGGCAGTGGGTATAGCTGTACAAGAAATATAATTATTATTTTATTATCATATTATTATAGCTATTATCATAATCAGTATGAATAGTCTATAAGTCATTTTCATTGTTACTTACATTAATATTGGAGAAAATAGCTAAAATAAAACATACATTTAATATAAACAAATTTTTATTGATTAACCAATTATAAAACTTTTTTGTATTATTGAGTCACCTACTTATAATTTGTTAAATATTGATCATGAGATGTTGTTAATATTTAAAATATATTGACGCATTTTAAATAAATAATCTATTAACCGATAATCTGTACAGGAGAATTGATTAATCTTTTAGATCTATCATTTGTATATTTGTATTAATACTATTCTATTTATGGGTGTAAGGATTCCACATTTTTTTTATATTATAATATATTGGATTTCAATTTTATTAATAAACTCTTCTAATTCATTTACAAATAAATTATTCATTACAACAATTTCGATGTACTTAAAGATTCTTACATTATAATTTGATTTCGTATTCAGAAATAATTGTACAGTTAGATACCAATGATTAACTGTTAATTAAAAAAATATAAGATCGTAAAATCAATGGTATATTACTCGTTAAGTTTCACTCTGTACTTCTTCTGATTGGTGCTATTCCTCGAAGCTGCGAGCATATAGCTGACTTCTTCTTACACTCATGGTACTGAGAGAGAGAAAATAATGGCAGGTCGTCGGGAGCAATTCGAAGTTAAAACCCCGATGGATTCGGGCATTTTCGCCGGCGCGGTTGCGAGGAGAGCCGGGAGAGAGAAAAAATAGTTAAGAGGCTGGCACAGTAGAGGGCGGACGGATGGGGTGGGGGCACCGACTTGAGGGACAGGTGTCAACGGCACACACATAGAGCGGGGGATCTTTTTCGGAGATTCTCGATTTCGTGAAAATCTTGACCAGGCGAACACAAGCTGCTAACTACTAAATGGTAAGGTGATTTTGTAATAAATTTTTAGAATTAGTTAATTAACGTTCGTGATGTTTCGCATTCGGTACGGCCATTTTCTGCTGAATTTCGTGCGAATTCGGCCCCCGCGTATCGACTAGGTGCCGAGAGGGGAAAGACCGAGACTTTCCCCTCACACTCCATTCCACTGCGCGCATACTACCCATCCCTTTGACCAGATCATCCCCCCTGCGTCCTCCCCCGTTCTCCTTCATTCTTCCCGTCCTCTGATTCCCGTTCTCCGCGCCGCCGTCCCTCTACGGCTACCCTTCCCCCGCATCGTGACGATCCCGGCCGCTTACAATATTCGTTTTTTAACGTCTTTTTTCCGTATTGTACCCTTTTCTATAGTCAGTAAATCGTTTATAATCCTTGTTACACGAAGACGTGCAGTTCCGCGATATTTCCTGTGAAGATTTACTCTTTTCTGTAACAATCGTGCAATTTAAGAAGGGAAACGCGACCGTTTCCCGTGTGTACTTCCTCGTGACAGACGGCTGACGCAGCGGCGGCGGTGGCGTGGTGTTCTTGCTTCTTGTGTCTCTCGTGTTGTAAAAATCTGCCCCTACGCTCACTCTCACCTCTCGGAGACCCCCCTCCGAGGAAAGGATTCGATTCCACGGCGAAGAAACATGGGGAGAGGGACGTCGCTGTGAGTAAATACTCGGGCGTCGTTCAAGCAAGACGCGCCAGATACATATCTTCGTGCGGCGTGTCAAGTATTCGTGAAACACCTTTCCTGTTATTATTGCGGATGTCGCCAAGAAATTATTTCCGTATCTATGATGTTTTCCCTCGGATGATGGCACGATTTGCATTTGGACGGTTACAATGTATCTCATGGACACATGTCACTGGCTGACATCTACAATTTTCTCAACGTCTATTAGTGTGTTAGCGATAACGCGTTCTTGTAAATTGTGGGGAAATGTTGAAGGATGTTGGTTGACAGATGAATTTCCACGAAACTATCCTGTAACTTGTAAAGTGTAACGTGTTGTCATACATAATTATGCCAATTCTAATTTTTTTTTACGACTTTCCAGGTATTTGATTGACGGTTTGCAATGAATTTCCCGCCGTTCGGAAGTCATTTTCCCGGTACTATTCCAAGTATTCACCAGTTCGCAACCGACGGCTCCGGCGGTGCAGGCGGACGTTACGCTAATCATTTTCCCAACCAGCCTCCAATTGGAGTGCCGGTTATGGGAAAGTACCGTCCTGAAAGCAACGGCGTGCAATCTGCTCAGTCACAAGTGATGATGAACAATAAAGCAAGCTATCCCAACAGCAATGTTCATCATTACCCAAATGTGCCATATTCCCAAGCCCAACCAGTTCAACAGCGGCCCTCTAATTCGCCTGGAATGCCAGAGAAGCGTTCGTATCATCAGGTATGCCTGCTGTACCTTTGAATGTTAATTTAGAGTGCTAAATGTAGAAACACTTTATAGAGAATTGAACCTTTTCAGCAAGCAACCGAAACTATAAATCAACAAGATGTTTGCAATCTCCTACAGGATAAAGATAAAAATAAGGAGAAAAAAGCAGATGAGCAACAGCGCAATGGAGAAACAGCAACAAATGGTAGCCAACAAGATTATACAATGCATCAACATCATCAGCAACATGCTCATACTCAAACTCCTGCAACTATGCCCGCTACATGGCAATCTTTGGCTACCCCTGGATCCACAGTGGCAGATTATCTCAGTCATTTACCAGCTAGTACTTTACCATTAAGTTTACATCATTTCTTAAAATATTCTGCAGAAAGCATTAAGAAAGAATCAGAAATGGCACAAACCACATCAGTAGCTGTAGCGACTACGACAACACCTAATATAATGATGTCACCAAACAACAAAAAGAAGAAGAAGAAGAAGGCTCCTAAAGAAAAGAAACCACGTCCAAAACCAGGAGAAATTCGCTTAACTACAGCTCTAGATGGCTCTACATTATATTGTTGTCCAGAATGTCATATGGCATACCCAGAACGTGAATTATTAGAACAACATCTTCTGGGACATACTTTAGAACGAAGATTCGTTTGCGATATCTGCGGTGCAGGTCTTAAGAGAAAGGATCATCTTACACGTCATAAACAAAGTCACAATCCCGAACGTCCTTACGTTTGTACCGTTTGTTTAAAAGCTTTCAAAAGAAAAGAACAGTTAACGTTACATTTTGTTATACATTCTGGTGAGAAGCGACACGTGTGCACAGAATGTGGAAAAGGGTTTTATCGTAAAGATCATTTAAGGAAGCACACTCGAAGCCACATTGCAAGGAGGGTGAAAGCTGAGCTGAGTCAAAATGCTGGTAAGAACTTGGATATATTTTGTCAGCGTAATGGTCGATTAAAACAAAAATTTCTTTATTAAGGTAACAATCTTTCTGTCTATAGGTACACAACAAAATCAACAGCAAAATAACGTTTCAAATATGCAGACTACAGCTGTCACCGCATCATCTGTTCTATCTGGTGGACATCCAGGACCTCTCCTATCCTGAGCCCCGCCACCAGGGAACTTTCAAGTTCCCCATCCAAATAATATTCTTCATTCGCATACGTCTCATCATTCATTGCATCATCATCATTTGACGGCCGTTAATGTGGCGCATCAATCGAGCGTCACGCCACTTGCTACGTCCAGCCACTATCAAACGCACGACCTCAGTTTTTTGGGACACGTTAAAGATTTCTGAGAGCAGGGGAAGACCTCGATTAAGAGGTAACAAAACTGATAAATTATATGGGCACTCTTAGCCAGTGAGAGTTGATTCAATCGCTTTTCTTAATTTCCGCTTTAGTAAATTTTCTACGATTACAAACAGTCCGTGATTCTGCTGACTCTCTATGTCCTAGTACAATAGTGCAAAAGCTGTGACAATTATGTAAGATTTTCAGCAATATGCACAGTTTTTATTACCTGTATATCAGGTATTGTTTTTGAGATATGTACGCGTAGATCTTATCTCCAAAAAGTGTGCCATATGCGTATGTACATGATCAAAAGAATACGGGAAGACATAGAGAGTGTTTTTATGCACACAGAAGAGGAAAGCCATGATTTTCTCTAGAAGTGTTAGATTAGAGCCTGATATAAAGAGTCTTGCCATACTACTGTATGTATGAGAAACAAAACATATTTTTATGAAGGCTTGATGTAAAACACAAAGAAGCTACTTATTATCGAGTTAAGCTAACTATCAAGACAGGAAAGAAATATTATAAGTTTTTTTTTAATTGAATTTAATTAAATGATTCAATTTAGTTTTAATTTTTAAAGACTTATTTTCAATTATTCAATCTAAAATCGTTGAATACAAATAACATTTATACAAATCTAGAACTTGTGCAAATGGAGATATGTATATAAGGATGCAAACGAGTCATCCCACCGATTAATATGTAATGTCTTTCAATTTCTTATTGAGGTGAAAAATATGTTTCTTTTAATTATCGATTCAACATTATTTTAATCATTATATCTTGATCTAAAAGCCTCGAGTACATTTGCAATTCTCTGTCGAATTAAACAAATTTTTCAGTTTTAAATTCAAGTTATTTAATATTTTACTGAAACGCTGCAAAATAGCAGCTAAAAAAATGTGGCAATACTTTAGTCAGTAAAAAAGAAGAAAAAAGATTATTTCGCTCTTTTTTTTATAAATTCATTTTGTTTATATACAAAGTTGACAGTATTTTATATTTTACAATATATAGTTCCAAATTTTTGCTTATATGTATACATTTATATATAATTACGTATATATATATATATTTATATACATGTATACTTATATTTTACGATTTCAAAGGAAGTCGTACTAAATCCCTCTTTTTTTTATATACGTAAGTTCTCTAGAAGTTTACGTCGTTTTTTATATCGTTTTTTTTTACATTGTTTTTTTATAGATATTTTTTTCGTTAAATCCCTTTAACTTTCGTTGAATACTGATCGTGTTAGTGAACGTTTTTCGTTAGATTCTACGTACTTTTGATTTTCTTTGTTTATTATTATTATTATTATTATTATTATTATTATTAGTACTA